TGCAATATGAAGACACATATTGTAGTAGTAGAGAGCTTTTTTTAAATCTCCCACTTGTTCGAAAGCATTTCCGAGGCTCCCATAGGCGTATCCTTCCCCAGCCTTGTCTTCTCGTTCTTTTGCAATTTTAAGATTTACATGATAATTGTTAAAGACTTTCTCGATATCACCTGAACTGTTGAAGGCAATATCAGGGCCACCGTGATCTTTTTCGTCCACGAACTCTCCCGCTAGTTCTTTGACAGACTGGGTTTTTAACGTCAACAGGATCTTGTTATTGTAGTCGATCTTCTTTACGTTAAGGTGTATAAGAAACATTTAACAGACATGAGGTAAACAACTATTTCAAACAAAAATATTTCATTGAAATACGCACTATTGAACAGAAAAAAATAGAATGAAAAGCTGAATAGGAACAATAAGCATGAAAATTACCCTGTCTTAACATAAATAGTTAGAAAACATAATCCTAAAATCTAATTTATCTAAGAATATCTTCTTTTCGTACTTACTGTATACTTAATCAATATCAGCTTTTAAAATCAACGGTCACATCAGAGACGAGAGGTCAGCGCGGTGACTTGTTGGGCTTCTTAATTGGGTATATAAACCTCTCTTTGGTTCGAATTTTTAGGAACAAAACAGATTTATATCTTACACATATTGTTAAAACCACTGCTGTAGTTTTAGGAGAGGAAGACGACGAACACGAGAACGAGTTCGACACAGACAGCGAACAGGAAAAACGGTTCTTTTCGAACATACTCAACGGCTCTTTTCAGAGCCACCCGATTCTTTTCAGAACCACCAAATCTAAGAAAAGTCAATGATGAACATTTAGTGTCCTTTTCCTGTCTTGTTTAGCTGTAAGTTCTGCTAAAATTGTTATCTTCACATATTTTGTTGCGCGAAGAATTACTCCGCTATGAGACGCACCCCAATTTTGGCGTTAACTTGCCACCAAAAGACACATATTTCTTTAAAAAATCGTGCACCTCATAACTGAGAGACTACGGTAATTCCCTATTTCGTATTTTCTGCCATAAGAAGTCAGGTCGAAAATTAAGACTCTTTGTTTACTCAAGAAATTAGAACTGAAGATTTTTCAAAGGATACAGCTAATCCCTTATCACACCAAGTGATGGCCTCTTCAAATTTCTTCAGTTCAACACAGACAGTGGCTCCTGTAGGCAACATGATGTTTTCATTAGTGCCCAAGAAGAGAAACAGAGACCAAAACTGATATTGGTTAGCTACAAACATCCTTTGAATACATACATGTTGAGTGAAAACAGTCTTTTAAAACTTGAAGCAACAAAGTTACTCACCTCTAACAATTGCCTTGAGGAATGTTGGCTGTAACTTAGTGGCAGCTTCTGCGTCACTCAGTGAATCCTGATAATTTCCTGTTTTTAAATAAATATTGCTATTTAGGTTAAGTAAACCCAAAAAATGTAAGGTAATTGTTAAAAATGTACTAATGTGGTGCATCTGCACTCATTGATTTGTGCCATGATAAGAATTAAGTAACTATACTGCTATGCATATTTGAGGGCTCAATCCTAGTGTAATTTGTTTTGAAAAACCTTATTTTTGAACTAATTCCTGATTATAGAAACCACTAAAGCCCTAAAAAACTGTGTATTTAAGCTTCTTACCTAGTTTGAAATGTGAAATTGCCCTGTTGTTATACAGCTTGGCTTGTAGTTCTTTGTCATTGCATTCAACTTTGATTCCTTCCGTGTAGAAGTGGATAGCATTGAGGAAATCTCCTTTCTTGAAGGCCTCGTTACCCTGATTCCTATGAACATCAGCGATGGCTGCAAAAAATAAATAAAAAATAAGCAAAGAATTATGTCAATGTCTTGACATCTGGTTTGTTCTGTGGGTAGTTTATTCATGTAAAAGTTTTCACCTTCTCACAAATTGGGTAAAGAACAAAGATCAGAAACTAAATTACTCAAACAAAACCTTGACAAGAGACTTTAATTTGAGTCTTCTGAGTTTGGGGGAAAAGAGTAGACCAGTTAATGCAAAAAGGGGAGGCAGACAGTTCTTAAACCAGATATCCAGCTGACAACTCAAGGCCTAGGCAACTAATTAAAGTGGGCATTAACCCTTTAACCTCTATCAAACATTAAATAAGTCATGAGAATTATAGGAATGAATGTGCACTCAAGAAGCTCTTGATTGTTCAACAAATTCTGCTTTTAAGTACCATGGGAAAGGACCATTTAGAACAATATAGGGAACTTGCGCATCAATGTTCGGGTTCAAAGGGTGAAGAACTGTCCCAAATATTCTTTTGAGTGCTTGCATGGTCTTAAATCCTTTTCTGTGTCTCGCAGTAATTCCCCAATGAAATTGATATCTAAAGGTTAACTTCAACAAGGACTGAGTACCTTGCAGGGTGTCCTCGTCAAAGTCCAGGGCATCTTCCTTTTCAGGTCTGACCTCATTTTCACATGGAACTGTGATTAGATTTCTTTCCATAGCCATTGCAAACCTGAGAGGATACTTCTTACATTTAAGTTTCTGTTTCACATTATTCTGGCCTGAAGAAAGAGAAAGGTGGTAAAACTTTGCTCAACTACAGTTAATTACTATTAGCTCTAATTTGCTCAACCAGTAGCAGATGAGATTTACTGACCATTCAGTGATCAATCATGTAGTAATTGAGATGCTCAATTAAAACTTTTGTGTTGTGCAATCTTGCCTATTTTGTGCCTCAATATTATTTCAAAAACTTAAATACATACTATTAGCTAATTTAAGTACCTTATTATTAGTACATCTAATTTCCTCTAAGATTGGAAAAGATACATTCAATTTTACCCATAACAACAATCTGATGGACTGAAAAAGGAGCAAAATAATTATATAAAAAAAGATCAATTCACCAGAAGGAAAGATAACTTATCAAACAAAATTCACTTAAATTTTAGGATTTATGAAATACTTTCTTGACTGATATGGGCAAAAGTTCAACAACGGTGTGGAGCAAGTTCATAGTTTACAGCAAAAATTTAAATAATCTATACTATAAGGCTGAGGTGAGATCTCATGTTGCAAGCTTAAGTTTATGTGAAATACCACCCATTACTGGGTGATGTTCTTTTAAATTATGAAAACAGTAATTTGGTACAGGGACAGTTTTTTGCATTTTAATAGTCCATTTTACAGCTGTGGGCTTGGTTGCTGAGCCTTTTAACAGGAGTGAGGCTTAGGGTGATCTTGTTATGATACAAATCTTGCTGCTTTTCAAATGCAAATTGCCATGTTATTATGCTAATTAGATACTGGTTTTCTATCACTACAAGGTTACCTTTAGCCTCACTCCAAATCAAATCAAAGTACACAACTGTAAAATGGCCTATTGTGGTCAAGCTTGCTTATTAAGTACAAGCAATTTAGCATCAACAGACCTACCCTACTAGTTAAGTTCCATATTGCAAGTAAAAGTACAATGATGCCATGTTAGGTACTTAAGTTATTGAAATAATATCGAGGCACAAAATAGGCAAGATTGCACAACACAAAAGGTTTAATTGAGCATCTCAACTACTACATGATCGATCACTGAATGATCAGTAAATCTCAACTACTACTGGTTGAGCAAATGGTGAGTAAATCTGACCTCAAAAACTGCTGAGAGTTACATCACACATATGCATTCAGCTATTGCTAAATAGTAAGCTTGATCATGGACATAAATATGACAGCAATCTTCACAGTCATGAACACCACTTAAGCAGTGGTGAAAATAAGGCAAAAGAAAAAATTCAGGCCTCAATGGGATTTGAACCAACAACCTAGATCAATGGCTCAGTTTGTTAACACACACACAAACAACATTTGCATTCTTAGAAGCAATTTGTCTTCCCTCCAAACTCTCTATTACCTTTTTTGCTTGTGATAATATCTTCACAGGTTTTCTTCTAGACAGCCTTTTGTTTTTTAGTTTAATATTATGTTTGAGTATTATTTTCTTATTTGCACATATATATCATATAGGAAGTGTGTATTTATGAAAATGTAAGTTAATTAGTAATCTTGCAATAATAAAGGCTGTGTTTGTCCCAAACATTGTTTGGATTTTTCCTTTGTGGTTTATATACTTAGAGACACATCATTATACAAAACAACTGTTGATTTTTGAATGGGGATTAATGACTTCAATGTCCTACGATTCATCATCAGAGAAAAAAATGAAAGGATACTTTTCCAACAACAACAAAAAATAAATAAATAAAACAATAATAGTAGCAGAAAGAAATCAAAACCTTAAAAACTTCATTTATTAAAAACAGTACAGTTAGCCAAGTTGAGCTCAAAAATCCAAGACAATGAGTGATTGTAAGATATACCTCTGTAGTCATTGGCTGATAAATTCTTGAAAATTTTCCCATCTCAACTCACCTTTGGAAGAATTAATTCTAGCAATTAGTGAATTTATTTCAATCAAATATGAAATACCAGTAATTAAGTTTTT